TACTGTACTATAGCACGTGCTAATTGTGTACTATACTATAGCATGTGATAATTGTGTACTGTACTATAGCATGTGCTTATTGTGTACTGTACTATAGCACGTGCTAATTGTGTACTATACTATAGCATGTGCTAATTGTGTACTGTATTATAGCATTCGCTAATTTTGCATTTTTTTGGCATTTCCTAATTGTAACAACGACTGTACTGTTTATAGATACAACTTACATTTCTGTAATCTAGGCATTTTAAAGTAGGCAACCGTTTGGCCATTGAAGTATATGCAAAGTAAACAGGCACTTTTATATAAGGGTCTTGAGCATTCGTGGTTTTGGAGTATCGGACTGAGTTGTGGAACCAATTGACCGTGTAAGATGCGGGAGCGCTGTGCTGTATGTTAAAGTAGCATTTTCATCTGACTAGTAAAATCGGCAATGAGAACATGCACTGCGGCTAAATGCCCCCCCCCCATACTCACCGGGTCGCAGGTACAGCCGGGAGGCCACCTGCAGGGTGTCATCACGCGCTCGGTGCAGGAGGCGGCGCAGGGCCTTGTGGTAGCAGGGCAGCGTGTCGACGTGCAGGGCTCGCAGGAGCTGGGTCTCTGTGTCACCCACAGCGCCTGTGACACACCGTCAGCACCATCAGCCAAACTGCTCACCGCACGACTGCAGAGCCTTACTGCTCATTACCACCAATGATAAAATGCTTTAGTGACATTTTTTCAGAATTTGTCCCCGAAAAAGGGACCATTTCACAACCACGTGCATCCACTCAGTCTCGTACCCAGGGCCAGCTGGGAAAGCGCCACGGTGACACTCAGGGGCGACACCATCACGTTGGGCTGCTCCTCTGTGGCCGGCAGCTCCTCCAGCAGACGCAGGCCAAACTTCATCATGGCATTCCCCAGCTCCTTCTGGACCTCTGCGCTGGAGACGGATGCTTCGCAGCCCACCAGCTCCTCTGAGGAATCTCCCTTCACTGTCTCCAGCGGGGGGGGAGCGTCCTGAAGGAGCTCCTTAGCGGGATTCTCCTGGCTGTGGTGGGTGACGGCCGGCGTCTCCGGCACCTCCTGCTCACATGGGAGAGGCCTCGGGTTAGACGGATGCTGAGGAGGCGGGTTGAACAGCATGCGGTGTGTCAATGTGCTGCCAGACCTCCCGGGACACAGGGGGAGTCGGAGGAGTCGGAGGAGTCGACGGCATCGGCGCCACCGTGGATCCGCCGTAGGCGTCCGGCCCTTTCCCATCACCCTGGCAAAGAACAGACAGTCAGTCCATGTGGGGGGGGCATTCCAGGGGGGTACTCAAGCTCAAAAGTGGACTTCCTACATTCATGAAAGAGACAGTGTCTTACGGCCAGTGCGCAGCTATGGAAGCTGGTCAGCAGGAGAGTCAGAAGCCACAGGTCCATGGTGCTTCTCAGTCCAACCTGTGGCAAGGAGTGAGTCTGTACTGAGCACACCAGCACTGGAACTTCTCCAGCCAACCGGGACCAATGCGGCAGCTGAGCAGAAGCTGGGAGACGTGGCCCCTCACTGGCAGTGAAGTCTGGCAACTATCTGTACTCTCCAGTTCAAACAGGACCTTCTAAATCACTGTCTAAATTATGCAGTACAAACACTTAGCCAGCAAACTACCTGCCACCCGTAATATATTTGATCTAGTGTAGAGTTATTATCAATGTGAATGCATCTCATCATGTTCATCTAGCAGCAGCATGGACCACAAGGTGCCGAGAAAGTCACCTGGAAAGCTCACGCTGTGGTATCACACATGTGGTGTTAGGATAAAATGCAGATATAAACACGCCTACCTGTTTGGTTTTAAAAACAAGGTCCTATATGTTCACTATCCTCCCTCTCTGAGATGTGCCGCTCTCCCGCTCTCTGTCCGCATTGGCTTTTAAAGGCTGCGAAAGGTAGGACATGGGAAAGGAGATCCGCTGGCCTCACAGACTTGTGCCAGAAGGGGAAGACAAAGGTCTATTCTGTGAGCGAGACTGCCTCTGCATGCCAGCCAAGGTGGAGGAAAGCGGTAAACAAGTCAGGTGGCACTACCACTCCAGAACAGCAGGTGGTGCATTGGTTAAGAACCAGCCCTATCACTGGAAGGTCCCAGCAAAACCTCTGCGCTTCAAAGTTCTTCCGATAGAAGTGACACATGTGCAAACAGATACATTAGATGCAAGCATTGCATTTGGAGTCTGCCTCACGTCATTATCCCACGCAAGTGAATTGGCTAAACTCGAAAATAAATCATACAAATAATACTCACTTCAATTCCACCAAAACAGGGTGCAAATGGTCATGCGAGATAAAATCGTTAGTGTCCTACATCCTTCACGCACTGTGCCCAGCTTATAATTCTCACCTCGTCACCCAACACCGACTTAAAATCACGAGCACAAAGGGTGATATCAGAAGCCTTCAAAGCTTCAAAGAGGCTTTGTAAAGGCTGCCCTGAACGGAAACACAGGCTCCGCGTTTCCCTGGGCGCCAACGGCTGTGCCCTTGTGAGCAGATTAACCTTTCCTGCAGCAAACAACTGGGTTTGTCTACACCCACACAAGAAAGGACCATAGAGGACACATGATAACTTAATCCATTCCCCTTTCAGCCTGGACTGGCCTGGAATCACAATCTGATAGTACAACTGAAACACTTTGTTTGTCAAGCATACTTCAGCAAAGAGATCGATAAATGTTTAAAAGTTGATCACGGTGGTTAGCCAAGTCCTGGGAAAACGCTCTTTAAAAACCAAAAAACGGTTTCTTAAAGACCTGTGCAAAGAGCAAGGGAGTCAAAGTCCCCCCCTGAACACAAAATTAACCAGGACATATCACATACAGCCCAGTAAAAACACATGATTAAGGTTTACATTCTGCATGTCTCAACTGTCTACTTAATTAAAACAAAAGTAAAGAAAACAAACAGGGATTCTAAAAAATATTAAATCCACAGATTCACATTATTAAAAATTGCAGGAATATTTGCAGCAGTTGAGCTGAAAGGAGCAAAAAATTCTCTCTATTAACCCAAACGTTCACAAACACACAAAGAGTGATAAAATAGTGATGTCACGGTGGCCGAACGGACTGAAGTTCACACTCACCTCGGAGGCTTAAGGTGGAAGACCTGCTATCCAGGCTGAAATGAGGAGAAGCTTGCAAATGCCAAAGGAGACTCTCGGTGCTGCCAAAGCCACAGTTAAACATCAACCTCCATTGATCTGCTCTTCGCTAAGGTTCTGCTGGTGTGTAAATGCAAACACTGAGTCAGAATCGAGGGTCAAACATTAAACACGAAAACCGTTACACTTCATCATGAACAAGGAGCAAATATGACATCACATCCTGTCCCAAGATGTTTTTTTGCCTTCCATAACAATCAGCAGAAGATGTCGTTGAGTTTGGCTGACATGGAGGGGCGACGCCCATCAGTCTGGATGCCCGTACGGGACATGGAGGGGCGACGCCCATCAGTCTGGATGCCCGTACGGGACATGGAGGGNTGCCCGTACGGGACATGGAGGGGCGACGCCCATCAGTCTGGATGCCCGTACGGGACATGGAGGGGCAACGCTCATCAGTCTGGGTGCCCATACGGGACATGGAGGGGCGACGCCCGTCAGTCTGTGTGCCCGTACGGGACATGGAGGGGCGACGCCCGTCAGTCTGTGTGCCCGTACGGGACATGGAGGGGCGACGCCCGTCAGTCTGGCTGCCCGTACGGGACATGGAGGGGCGACGCCCATCAGTCTGGGTGCCCGTACGGGACATGGAGGGGCGACGCCCGTCAGTCTGGGTACCTGTACGGGACATGGTAGGGCAATCATCCCTCGGTCTGGGTGCCTGTACGGGACATGGAGCGGCAACGCCCCTCAGTCTGGGTGCCTGTACGGGACATGGAGCGGCGATGCCCCTCAGTCTGGGTGCCTGTACAGGACATGGTGGGGGGATGCCCATCAGTCTGGGTGCCTGTACGGAACATGGCGGGGGGATGCCCCTTGGTTTGGATCCAGTTGGGAACAGTTGCTCCTGTATTACTTAGCAAGGAAGAAACTATATTCAGATTGTATTCAGAGAAGGGCGAGAACAGCCATGTCAAGCAGCAGTGGTTACAGAGCTTGCATTTTGTGTGTTACCATTTAGGCAGTATACTGGCTGGTTTTGCGTGCTACTTTATTTTGTTTATGTGTACTGGTTTATTTCGCTAAGACGCCTTTATGTGTTTTCCTGTGCTTGGATCAGTCAGGACGACGACAGAATTCCTGCCTGAATCAGGCATTACTCCGCATCCCTCACCGACATGTGTGACAGAACCTGATGGCAGAACGTTTGAAACACTAAAATCCAAAGCAGAAATGCGTACAGGAAACAAGTGGATGATAAGAAGGGTGAAACTGTGAATCCCCAGCGGGACGTTTGTGTGAAACGGCAAGTGGCACAGACTGCATGACCAGTCCTGTCAATACAGAGAACAAGGCAGGTTTGAAATATTTGCATAAGCAATATTTTATTAAATGTGTTAATAAATAAAATAAGTTTTTCATTAGGTTATTTCTTTCATTAAAATGCACCAATGGAATATATAACAAGATAATGAAGGTAACAGATGTGTTGCTGTTAAATGGAGTACTACTCCCTACGCACGGGGGCCGGGGGGGGGGGGGGGGTCCATGATGAGGGTATTTACAAAAGCCAAAGAGATGGGTTTGTATATAAATTTGTGACCATGTAAACAATCTTTCCTTATGGACATGATTCCACAAAGAGGGGATGTAATTATTCTGGAAGCAGCTGGAAGGACGGCATTTGGGCATGAGAGGTGGCATGGGGACCCATAAAGACAAAACCAGGGGCTCAGCACGGGCTTTGAGACGACTGTCCAGGAGAACCGCAAATCTGAGGAGGACCGACACAAGCCCACAATCCTGAAGCCTCAGGTCCTCCTACACTAATCGCTGACTAATGCTGGGAACTCGGTGAGGTTCTCCAGTAAATCCGCCAACCATTAGTGTAATTAACCAGCTTAGCCCTTGGCTGGAACAAAGGATGCCGCTCCTCAGGACTGGAGTCCATCAGCAGTGATGTAGGCCTTCCGGGACACACACACGGCATGTGTAATGGATGCTACAGCACACAACCTCAAAACCGCTCTTTTCTTCACCACAACCCAGAGAGAATCATCCGATATCGGATCACAGTCCACTGGCTGCAGCCACCCAAACACTGGTGCTTAAGTCTTTCACTTCACCCAGCTCACTCCCCCCCCCACCCCAACAGACAGATAATTCAACAAAATGAGAATAAATGACAAAGGGAGGAGCTAATGTAAGGCCACACCCATACAAACAAGCCTGTGTTGACCCACAGCTTCTATGAGGAAGGACACTTTCTGAAGAAACAGTGACTCGATAGAGAAATACATTGAATAGATCAGATACATGGTGTTAGAATACAGACTGCACAAGAACGATGAATGGTGAACTGAAAAGGAAGTTCATTGTTAACTAAAAATCAAAATGGTTTCCAACCAGTTACAGTCTGGTAGAACCAGAGTTTGGCCACAACATGTCTTTTCTCAAAGCAAAGGAACAGGACAGCTTGGTAACAAACTGGTGAGCACAGTGATGTTTAAATCAGACTTTCAAAGGTTTTAGGGAAAAGCTACTCCAGAGTCACATTAAAATCATTAATCACCAATAAAATCACCAGCTCTTCTTCACCTTGGATCCTTGCAGATGGAGAAAAAAAAAATCAGAATATTGAAAAAGTCAACAGATTCTGTGGGTTTTACATTATGACCAAAAGCCGTAGATGAAGATGGGATGCTGAGAATCACTGTGTGCTTGGGCCAGCCCTCCGCTAGGCGCTACACGGCCACGAGCCCACGAGGCTCCTCATGGGCCGGGAGGCGGCTGCAGGCTGTTCTGCTGGCCCAGAATGCACTTGTGCTGTAGCTCCACCTCCACCGCACTGAAAGACGCAAAAATGCAGCGACATATTCCAGTAGAGAACAATATACAGAGTCACTACAAACCCTAATAAAATGGGCAGGGTAATTGACCTGTATCTGTAGAAACAAGCATCCATATTCGCATCTTAAAATATATTTATATCAAGGAATACTGCATAGTTACTGTGGGCTTTGGGTGCACGATGATTCGGCAGGATGTAGATGAGGATTGTGTTTTTTGGTGTCTTTATGCATCTATTAGGAAAGTGTAAACACTTTGTGAAAAACAGCTCAACTTCAGCTTCCTGAGCAGCCTGACTGACCTAATTTTGTGAAATATTAAGACTCAAAAAAGAACAAGGCCCATGACAGGAAGTGACTACTCTGCATCAGCAGCTGTGAGATCCAGAGTTAAAATATGGGAGAGAAGAGTGTAATCAGGCATTTAGTTATTCTGTGCACCGATCTGTGCTCATGTGACCAACATTCTCATTTGGTCACAGACTATTGGCTGAGGAACTTGGTCCTTTCTAGACGAGGTCTAAGCAGCTACATGAGAAGGCCTCATCTCCCCATCTTCGAAAGTAGGTGGTCACCTTGTTTCCCATCAGCAGGTCAGTCTGGAACGAAAGTCACCAGAACATTCCAGAACAAGAGCCTGCGGATTAGGCCAGGAGTCTGATGGCGCCGTTTTCAGAGCCCAGAAGCAGGAGTCGCTTGGTGGGTAGCACAGCCAAGCTGGTGAGGGTTCCACGGAAGTTTTCCGAGCTCAGCTTGGTGCTGCTCACGGGCCCCGCAGAGATATCTGTCATGGAGTACACCCCGATCTTGTTGGACACCGTGCCCGTCACAATCTCGGCCCCGTAAAGGTCGAAGGCGTGTATGGGCTCAGAGGCGGATTTGTAGTGGTGCAGCGGTTTGTGTTCCAGATCCTTCCACACTGTCAGCGTGTGATCTGTGGAGGAGCTGAGCACCAGGTTACCTTCTGTAGCCTGGGAAGGAGGGATGGGGGGAGATAGAGGGAGGGAGAAAAGGACAAGAGAAGGTGTGGGGGGGGGGGGGCATGAAACCAAACATATTCAGTAGCCTTAAATCCCCTCAAGCTACATGTAATTCTGTGGTGTTAAGGTCAACTGTCCCATGTGGCCATATTGGAAGGACAATGTATAGGAAAACAATCACACTTAATAGAAAAATACAAGCTGAAATTATGGGTGTGAGTCAGGAGCTCAATGGTTAGCAGTGACGCAACTCCAGGTTCTCCTGTAGGAAACACACAGGAGAACTGGCATCTCTGTATCTCCATATAGTGTGTGTGTCCGTGTATGTCCGTCCGTCTGTGGATGTGTGTCTATATCTCAATATATGTACTTGACCGTACTTGTGTTTTCGTGTACCCGTTTTACGTCATCTTGCATTGCCAAAGACCAGTTCCAATCCTCAAGAACAGAAGGACAAATAATGGTAAAAATCCCCAGATGTCGGTCTTGCCCCGCCCCAAATGTCAAGGACACATCGCTTGCAATCCATGCCAAACGAGATCAATCTCATGATTCATTGCACCCCAAATTTGTTCTTGGTCTTACCAAGACCACGAGTGCGATCTTTGTGTTCCTGGTATTGAGAAACGCCCTGCGTGTGTGTGTGCGTGTTCACGCCTCACGCTTCCTGGCTCACAGTCACCCTGTACTGGGTGCAAAATTACGGACAATGGACTAATGTAAGCAAACTACCAAGCTGCTGCTGAGGGTGGGAGAGCAGAACGGCAGGCACAGGAGGGCCAGCGCACAGAGGCCGCTGTAATGAGTAACCGCTGTCCATATTTACTCGACCTCATGCCTTCAGCGGCGCAGACATCATCCTTGACCTGGCCCACAGGTTTCAGATAAACTGGGGGCGTCAGATGATCCCAAAGGCTCAACTCTTGGATTTTAAACGTGGATGGATGTGGGTAGAACAAGCAGTTAGGATAAAAATCCAAGAGTCCCAATGGGGGAAGCTTCCGGAAGAGTCATACTACTACCAGTCAGCAAGGATGCTGTCAAAGGTGGACTTGCTGGGGGGGGTGGGGGGGGGGGGGGGGGGGGGGGGGGCGGGGTCTTACGCAAGGCATACATATCCCTGCAAAACTCCCTCTGACAGATTACAACTTCCAATAAGCCAAAGTTTATCTAAGGGGCAGGCAGCAGTACCACAGACCCACTGTAAATTTTTACAGTCAGCAAGTTTTCAGGCTGATTATTCTATCAAAAGTGCCCATGTTATATGTCTGACATCACAGGGAGGCCTGAGGGGAACTTAACCAGTCCTTAACCATTCTTAAACTAGTAAAATTTCTAAGCTTGGAATGAGAAAGCTGCCTGCCACCATCACAGCAAACAACCCGGGAAATGTTACGCAAGGGCCCCCTGCTAATCGTGTTCTGGCATGTTCCGGAAAGAGCAGCTCAGCTAAATGAGCCTCAAAGTGGGGAGGGTTTGCTGACGGCTGTGTAGTCCAGGCCAGGATGAGGGCGACAAGATAGGTATTTCAATGTTAAAATGCAGCCTGAGTCTGCCCCCCCAGGGCTGCTCTGCAGAGGTGAGGGCCCTGGACAGACTCCTGATGTCAGAGGTGTCAGGTGATTTTTCACATAAGATACCCTCAGTGCTCTGAGGGAGCGCACGGTGACGCACGGCGCCCTCTGCTGTCCTCACCCTCATCTGCAGGATGTCCCCCTCGTGTGCTGGCCAGCCACGTAGCACCAGGCCTGTCCGGGCGTCCAGCAGCACGATGAAGCCGGAGGAAAAGCCAGCCGCCACGGTGCGCCCGCCAGGACTCACGGCCAGGTAGCGGATCAGCCCGGCGCCAACACTGCTGTAGGCTAAGCGGAACTCGTGCTGGGGGAACAGTGACATCGAGCAGGCGTAGCTCATTACATTATGTGCCTTTTTAAATTTAACAAAATTTTTATTTTTTAATCATAACGGTCCTTCCATTAAAGTTTCTTTAAACTTCTGATAAATCATTAAAAAATATTTACCTGGTCTGAGTGCTGCTGTACTTTAGAACCCCCCCAGAAGTGTAGCTCAGAGATAATTACTGATGTCAAATATCTCCAGAAACAATTCCTTCAGAGACTTGGCGCAGTGAATGGGACTGGAGCTCTCAGCGAGCGGACGGACAGATGGTACCTGCAAGCCCGGTTTGCGCGGGTCGATGAACCGGAGCACGGAGTCGGCGCTGCCAAACACGACACTGCAGTGCGGGGCGGGCATGGTGGTCACTGCCGTGATGGGGTTCTTCCCATCCAGAGCATCGTAGAACCGGATCTGCTTGCCTGTGGACAGGTCGGGTCGGAAGGGAAAAAAACAAACTGAGTACAAAACACAACCAGCAGGTGGCGTGGCTGTTAATGCTCGTAAACCTGAAGGTTGTCAGTTCGAGTCCCAAAAAAACTTGGCTGCAAACAAAAACATCCAGCTTAAAGCTTTTCCTGGACAAAGGAATTTGGATCCCATAATCTCTTAGTAAAAAAATGAACAGTTTCCATTTACCACTGAGGTGTGTTTATCTGATTATGATATTTACCTGGTCTGAGTAGGCTAAGCGGAACTCGTGCTGGGGGAACAGTGACATCGAGCAGGCGTAGCTCATTACATTATGTGCCTTTTTAAATTTAACAAAATTTTTTTGTTTTGTTTTGAATGCACGGCCTTGAAACTACCAGTGTGTTAACTACTACTCCATCTGCTGGCCATAACATACACAGGCTGTACATAACGAAAACACAAGGTGTTTTTAAATAAGGAGCAACAAAATGCGCACACACAGGGCCCGCCCTCCAGTGCCCTCCCCAGTGCCCACCTGTGAACTGGTCCCACAGGTGCACGGTGCCATCGCAACTCACAACCTCCTGCAGCGCCTCCAGCTGGCCGACGTAGAACACGGACTTGCGGTGCTCCGCGTAGGTGAGCCGCGGCTCTGTCTCCCGCGTGCCGTCACCGCGGTTGTACAGTGGCCACAGGCGCACCGTCTTGTCCTTGCTGCCCGACAGGAAGTAGTCCTCGCCGGCGAGCGGCGCCAGGCACTTGGTGGTACCTGAGTGGCCCAGGAAGCTCTGCAGGCGGATCTGGTGGAAGTGGAAGTGCGGATCCTGCTGGCTGAGGCCGATCTCATATTGCCAGTGAGCCAGCCAGTTGCCCTGGAGGGCGCGGCCACTGCGCGCAAGGTCCTGCTTCAATGCACTGTCTTCGGGGGCTGGACCCAGCACCCAGGACGAAGAGGAGGCAGGGGAGGAGGCCGAGGAGGAGAAGGAGAAGGATGGCCCGGTGCAGGCGGAGCTCGCGACGGCCGAGGCGAGGTGACCGGGGTTCTGGCGCCCCCAGGTGTCCAGAGAGGAGATGCCAGGACTGCCAACGGACTCCGAGGCCCGCGGTACCTGGATCCGGTTCCCCACCAGGTGGCTGCCAAAGGTGCCTGACTCAGGGATGATGTCGCCATTGCCACTCACGGGGGTGGAAGTAGAGGGGGGGGCCGGGAATGGACTGCGTCCGAATCGGCCGCCGAGGCCCGGGGACAAGCCCACGGAGCAGGATGGGGAGGACGAGGAGGAGGAAGGCAGTGGGGCCGGCAGATCCGGCTTGTAGCCCGCCCCCGTGGTGGTATCCGGGCTCCCCGGACTGACGCGCTCCTGGTACGGCTGAGCCAAGCTCCACACCAGCTCGTGGTTTGGCACCAGCTTGCGGATCGCCCCATCGCCTGAGGGAGTGAGGACAGGCTCCTGCTAGTATTAATTGGCAGAAAAATGCTAATACAATGATGCACACACTGATATATAGAAAAGGCAGACAAACATTCCAGCTGATCGAGTGAAATAGTAATAATACTATTATTTCACTCTCATTATACCAGTAACTGCTCAAATGGGGAGTTTAATGGTAATGTTGGGAGAAATGGGTGTATTCTCTCCTGTTCTGTATATCACAAACTGGGTTAATGTACCGGTTATGTTAAACCAGGCCATGACCGACAGGATTAGGCAATCCCCCTTGTATCTCCCATTGTAAATAAAATGGCTTCAGTCTGGACTGTTTGGGCGGTAGCAAAGCATGGCTGCTTTGATATCGATCCCCAAACTGACTCGTGTAACGCGGGATCAACACGCCGGAGACCTCACCAATGAGGCAGTAGAACGGGACATAGGCAGCATAGGCCATCGCTGGGCTGAACACGGCCTGCAGCTCCTCCAGCACTGCCAGCTCGAAAGTGACCTCCGAGCCACCTGGCGAGCGCAGGTCTACCACAGCGCCCTCGCCAGCCTCGCGGTGGGCAGCCACGTCAGCCTGCGCCGGGGCAAAGGTCACATGGTGTTTCAAAGGTGGGAGGTTCAACGGTGCAGAAAGCTGCATGCAGTGACACTGATGCCACATACTGCGAACCGCAGACAGGCTACAGGGTAGTGCCCGAGCATGGGAGGCCTGCAGCTACAGGCGTTCCCCCAGGCACCGAAGGCCTGCAGCAACGGGACTGTGCCCAAGCACCGAAAGCCTGCAGCTACGGGGCAGTGCCCAGGCACAGAAGGCCTGCAGCTACGGGGCAGTGCCCAGGCACAGAAGGCCTGCAGCAACGGGACTGTGCCCAAGCACCGAAAGCCTGTAGCTACGGGGCAGTGCCCAGGCACAGAAGGCCTGCAGCTACAGAAAGTTGGGTGCTACCTGTGTCCGCAGCTCATGCAGGAGGGAGAAGACACGAAAGAAGCGGCTGAGGGTGTCAGCCATGTGCTGCTGCACCATCTCCCGGCCGATGCGCAGGCAGATGAGAGCCACGAGGCCGAGGGTCTTCAAGCAGACGGCCGACCGCGTTTGCACGCCGCTGGGGAACCTGGGGGATGAACCATGCATAGAGCTAGCAGCTAATTAACGTCGCTCAAATCAAGAAGATTAAGTGAGCATCTCTCCCGGTGCCATGTGGTGGGGGTCAGGGGGGAGAGACTGTCAGATGGGGGTGGGGGGGTCAGAGAGGCCATCAGTTGGGGGGGGGGTGGAGGCCGTCATGTGGAGGGGCAGGTTAATGGAGGCCATACCCCATCTTGGGAGAGGTGAGCAAGTCGAGCAGCGGCAACAGCACATCCTGGTTGATCTTCATCAGCATGTCCATCAGCGTGGTGTCAGACAGGAACACCACGATCTTCTGGGTGAGCAGCACCGCGGCCAGCAGGCCGGCCTCTTTCCGCGTGTTCAGGCGGGATGCTGAGGGCGGGGACACCTGGGAGGAGGACGAAGGTCAAAGCAGTGCGAGGGAAGGCTCATTCCTCTTTTTGACACCCAATTTTGGGGAAAATGAAACTGTTCTCTCATCTTTGAAGTACAAAGGTGTTTATGACAGCATATGTTTTTGCACACTAATTTGACAGATGATGTCTCACATTAACATGCAGCGCTGATTATCCAGGGACAGCAGATGGCTTATGGGAGGCAGCAGGCCTGTGAGCAGGGGTGTTATGTTTGAGGGCCGTAGGCAGGCCTCCTACCAGGTAGCCGATGTAGGGCAGATACTGGTACGTGAGCACAGGCTCCCCGTACAGGTGGGCGATGTAGAGGAGCAGATCGAGCACAGGCCCAGCCGTCTGGTCCCCCATGACGGGCCGCTTCTCATACACGCTGCCCATGCTCTCCGGGAAGCAATCGTCCGACTCGCTGGGCAGGAACTGGTGTTGGTTTGGACCTTGGGGAGGACGGTGACATACGCATGCATCTCAGTGGCCAGACTGGCGACCTAAACACCGCTTCATTACTGCTATGTAGCATACGTGCTAGTTGATCGACTCAAACATTAGCACCAACCGATGGAGGTTGTACCTTAGCACCACCTACCAATTTACACATTACCTCAGCTTAGTCAAGGAGCCCCTACATTAACAGCTCTCAGCTACATGCACATTAGAACATAAATTTACAAATGAGGGGAGGCCATTCAGCCCATCAAGTTCATTTGGGAAGAACTTAACTAATAGCCCAGCGTTGCTAAAATCATATCTAGCTCTGATTTAAAGGAACACAGGGTTTTAGCTTGCGCTACGCTAGCAAGAAAACTATTCTTAAAGTGCTTTCTCATATCCAGTTTAAAATGTTCTCCTGCTAATTTCCACCTATGGCCACCAGTTCTAGTTTTTAAACTAATATTGAAATACCTATTCAGTTGAACAGCATCCAGACCTGTTAGAATCGTGTAGATACCTGGATCATGTCCCCCCTTAGTTTCTTTTGCTCGAGACTGAATTAGCAGCACTGCTAAAATTAGCATGTTAATTAGCAATATAGCGCGCGCATTAGCAATACTCACCGATGTAGCAGTTGGTGAGAAGCCGAAGCAGAGTTCGGGCCACATACCGGGACGTCACAGTCGGCCCCAACTTGGCCACCAGCCAGCGGACAGTCTTACAAACAGTGTCTGCAGAGAGTGGACAAAAAGAAAGCTCTGGAAGGCTGTGGACGCACACTCATTTGCTCAGGGGAGCTAATTTTTAGGTGCTTTGAGTTCTGACTGAAACCTTCCTGTACTCTGACCCCACAATTAGTGCAGCTTTACCAGCTCTGGCTGCCAAAGCGGTTTTACTGCTTCTTAATTCTGATGGTTTCGCTAATCGGTGCAGCGCTAAAACTGAATGGATGTAATATAAGCTTACAAAATAAAAAAAAAACAAAACAAAAAACACTGCATTTAAGTAAATGTATTATCTACCGAAAAGAACAAAAAGAATAAGAATCAAAATCCCCAGGCGATATGGACTCAACCCACATTTCAAAATTAGAAATTATAATTAGTGGATAAAACTAATTCCTTATATAAAAATATAAGGAAGACATTTAATACAAAGTGTGGCTTAAAATGAGCCCTGAATTTCATGCTGACCTGGAAAATTATCACCCAAGAGGGTAAAAAAATTGAAGGTCAAAGTGTAAGAAAGTAACCTAAAACCTGATTAGTAACAGAAATACAGAATATTAACACAGTTCTGACTGCACTGATATCTTCTTCAGGTCTTTTAACATGTAGTTCTGACATCAGGCAGGGTCCGGAGAATCAGTATGCTATAGATTATTAAAATTTCATGTTGAAAATTAAGCCGTAATGTTCTCAGACTGCTAATGGACTGCAAATGCTATGAGGTTGTTACTTTTCCTGCAGACAAGCAGACTCACCCAGCAGGATCTTGTGCTCCTTCTCCTCAGAGTCCTCAGAGGGGTCATGCTCCTCCTCTTCCTCCACTAGGTCTTTCTCAGGCTCCCCCTGCTCCATCCCATCTGCAGCTTCTCCCTCCAAGGTGGCCACGGTGGCCTCCGACTCCTCTGTGCAGCCCGACAGTGTCAGTTCCAGGCTGGGAACGCTGGCCGGTTGTTCTTCTTTGCCCTCATCGGCCTCCTCGTCTTCCTCCAGTTCCCCGGCATCCTCGCCCTCGCTGGCCTGCTTCAGGTCCTGGCTGCTGTCTGCAGATTTCAGGCTAGCGTGATCCCGGCTGGAGTCGGCATCGCCTGCAGATGCTTCGCTTGAGCTGCTCTTGTCGCTCTGCTTGCCAACGCTCAAGGACTCCTGGTCCGGGTCCCGGCCCACAGAATTCTGGTGCTGCCGTTTTGCCGAAAGCGTTGAACCCGCTGGGCCATTGTTGACATAGAATCCATCCTGGAAGTCCTCATTTTCAGACAAGAAGACTTGGTCGTTGAGGCTAATCCCTGAAGAGTAGTCCACCAGACCTGCATCTCCCACTCCCACAGCACCACTAGTGCTTCCACCAACCCCAGCCTTCCCAGTCACAGACCCTGATGACAAACCACCCTCCACACCTTCATAATCCTCATCGTCCTCCTCCTCCTCCCCCAGGGTTCCCGGGCCCCCGCTCCGGGACTTGCGGCCCTCCCTTTCGCCACCCGTCTCGGTGCTGCAGCTTTCGAAGCCGATCAGGATCTGTAGGACATGGGGCAGCAGGGAGGTGAGGAAGGGCTGCAGGCCGAGGCGCACAATGAGCTGGAGTATGAAGCAGTCGGTGTAGAGGTAGAAGCGGCCGCGCAGGCAGTGGGGGTTCTCGTACACGCCCACAAGGGGCTTCAGCAGGTACTTGGCAGCGTTGCGTGGACCCAGAGCCCGGGCGATGGGCTCGAACAGGTACCAGGCCGCATAGACTGCAGTGGACTCCTCCAGCATGAGCGTTAGCACAAACGGAAGCAGGATCTCCAGACCTTCTGCTGTGATCTCACCCTGGAGCAGGGTCTCCAGCTGCTGCCAGAGGTGGAAGACAATGTCGCGGCCCTGACTGCCACCAGCGGAGCCCATCTTGTCATGGTAAGAGAAAATGAAGCGGTGTAGAGGAGGGAAGTAGGCAGGGAAAGGCAATGGGGACAACACAGGGTTGAGCAACTGTGAGGGGCTTGGAGGGGGAAGACCCTCAAAGACAGGATCATATTTGAAGAGTAGGGGGTATGGAGGTGGAAGCTGTGACTCCCATGGGCTAAGCGGCACAGAGTGCTTGTGGAGGTTCAACAGTGTTTCAAGGGCATGGTGCAGGGCCAGGGGTATATCCCGAAGGCTGGGCGTGCAATGCTTCATCACCGCCTGGAAGCGGTCGCACAAGGGGGCATCAGATTTCATGCAGCGGAGCTTTGGAGTCAAGAAGATCTCTGCAATCAGGATACCCAGAGCCTGCATGTCTCTCTGGAAAAGGTTGATGAGGCAGGGATGGCCAACATCTGGATCCTCCCTCTGGGACTCCTGAACTTGGGCTTGCAGACCCTTAACTATAAAGATATTCAGCTTCTCTAGTTCTTCCAGGGGCTGCAAGGGGTTGAATCCATCTGGCAAGCTAATCTTGAAGTCCTCAGTACTGGTCACAGCAACATGCTGCCCCTCAATATACCTCCTGTTCAAACCACTGGCTTTTGGCAACAAGGAACTCCTCAGGCCAGACCCCGAAATGCTGGGAACACCAGGAGGCCCCTCCCCAGGGTAGGTGACCGGGGACTGAGACAAGGGCACAGCCTGAAGCTCCCCAATCAACCTTCCACCAGTGGCACTGGATGAAGTTACTGGGATTGCAGTGCTGGCTGGGGTGGCACCAAGAGAGTCCAGAGCCTCGGTACCCTGCTCAAGATCTTCATCCCGGTCAACTACTGTCCAACCACTAGACTCGCATCCAGTTGCTTCAGGGACTGTTCCATCCACTCCATCTGACAAAGCTTCCAGGAATGGGTTGTCCCAAGAAGAATAGGGGGTGAAGGCCAAGCCCAAGTGTGGAGGCTCAGGTGGTGCATACTGATAAGGGGCAAGGCGGGGTGGGTGAGGCTGGTCAAACAGCTGTACCACCCCATAGCTGGTCAGATGGGTATGGTTATCCACCAGATGGAGACAAACGTTCTTAGCCTTGACGGCTTCCTTTCCCGAGAGCTTGTAGCCAAATGTGAGGTCAATCCAGTGGTGCAGGTGCTGGGAAACCTCTGGGCTCTCCAAGAGCTGACAATGCACCTCCACAAATTCCTCACAGGAGCTGCACCATGGTGGTACTTCCAGATCTGGCATGTCTGGGTGGATGGAACGGAATATGGAGGGGTCCGTGTAGAATTCAGGAATGCACTCATCCGGGGTCCAGCTCTGCATGCGCTCCATGCTGGCGGGATACTCATTCGGCTCCCACTGTGAGCGAACATGACTACACAGCACAGCCTTGGGCGTCTGTCGGGCCTTGTAGACATAGTATGTGATGTCTGACAATACATCAGAGATGTGGTGTGGCACATGTAGGTGGTCTGGCTGTCCTGAGCTCCCAGAACCAATGGCTCCACCAATCTCTCCACCAAAATTGCTCCCCCCACTCCCACTGGCAACTGCTGCAGCAAGGGCCTCTTTGGTCATCTCATAGGTAAAGTCTAGCTGCTTGTCACCTTTGTTCAACCGGAACTTGGACCGTCTGAGGTCACGGAAGCGCCCCCCGGGAACAGTGAAATCTACCACCCAGGGCAAAACAGGGTGGTAGTTTGGGTCTCCCTCACGCCTTCCCGCTAGCTTGTTGAGCTCCATCAAGTACTGGAAGTTACTGACTTGCCCATGGACCCAATTCATGACCAGTGAACTCAGCCTGTCCAAGCAGCCCTTGCAAGCCTGTCCATGGTTTGCATCATTCACCCTCTCAGTGCTATCCCTCTGCTGGCCTGTTGCTGGTCCCCTTGTGACACAGCTAACCGGCCTCCTACACTCACTCCAATCCTCGTAGTGTGCCAGGCTAATCTTGAGGCGGCTGCAGAGCTGCTCGTCTACAGCTATGTCGTGCAGGGAGAGCTTACCACAGGCCAGCCCTGATGCCTGGCAAGCACGCATTGCCATCAACAGCTGGTACAGCACAAAGAGAACCTTTGCGTGACTGTTTGCCAGCTTGGCTGGGCTGTAGGTGACAATGTCATGGAGCGAGTACTGGGTGTATGGCAGCACCACGTACAGAACCTCTGCCGATTCCAGCAGCCCTTCTGCAGGGAGCACATTGGGACAGAGGCGGTCCGTTTGGCCCCCGGATGTTGGGGCATTGGCCGGAAAAGGGCCATCCTTCTCTTTCTCCCTGGCTGGAGACAGAGAGGGTGAGACCCTATCTGTGGACACGAAGGGACAGCAGAAGAGGGTCTGCAGAGCCTGGCGCACAGAGTCCAGCGCTGCCACCCGTGTGTGAGCAGCGACGCCGGCGTACGGCTGCACATGGGTGCGGTATGCTTCCCGCCATAAGTTCCTGTGGAGGCAGGAAACAGGGTCTCTGACTATGCACCATCAAAATGAACAATATCAATGATTTAACTATCTCTCTCACACACACACACATTATATAATATAATATTATATATATATATATATATTACACACACACACACACTCATCATACTACAACTTTTTTGCTGCTTGACACAAAAGATAAAACTTGCCCTGTTCTCCAATTTTCATGACAAATCAACAAGAGAAGTCCGTCTCGTATAACATTATTTACACTGATCTAAGTTCCTGCATACACAGAGTTTTCTGCTAGTGAGTGACATGCAGGCTCTGACACAGCATGTCATGCACATGCAATTCTCACATCACAAGGACCACAACTGGGGTGAGATGAGGCTTTTTCCATACTTCCAGACATTAAGTTCCCAGAGTTTAAGTTTTGCTAAACCATCTTTATTGTGGCATAGGAAACGAAACTTAGCAAGCTTTGCAATTTTAATGATAGTTCTTTTTCAAGGTTATATATCATATGCTGAAAAATCAGTTAAATGTTTATGGCCACTGCTTTAGCACGACCTCTGCATGCGCTCTTCGAGCCAATCACACACACACACACGCCGTGTAATTAGAAATATACAAGCCAGCTTGCTCACACTGTACTTCTGCTTTCGCAGTATGGCCAGTGCGGAATACCTGAAGTTACGCTGCGACACCTCCTGCATGAGCCTGCAGAAGGAGTCCTGGGAGAAGGCCTCGCCCAGGGACCCAGGGTCCACGGCCAGCCGGTATTCCAGCCGGCTCTTCCTGAGGCCCTGGATGCAGACCCGGGTCCAGCCAAGAGGCAGCTTCGCCTGGGAACGCTGGAGGACGGTGCGCACATCTACCTCCCCGGCAGCGTCGTAGCGGGCGCAACGCGTCACCTTCCGGTCCCGCAGGGCCGACACCCAGCGGATGGGCACCAAAGCCACCAGCTCCTCGGGACGCGGACCGGGCCCCATCTGCCGGCAGTCGACGCCCAGGTCCCTCTCTACGGCTGCTGGCAGCCACTCCATGCCCTCGCTTCTCAGGGAGGAGCAGGTCGGGTGAGAGCGACTCGCCTCCAGGAGAGCTCCAGACTGAGGGACCCTTAGACCGCCATGAGGGTGCAGGGAAGACACAGTGACAGCGGGACTGCAGCTGCGTGGACGGTGTGCTGTGGCAACAAAAGTAAAAACTCAAATTAATAACCCTAAACCTCACCATACATTCTTTCTTTCAAACTAGTTTGTTTATGAATTTACTAATGCGATTTGTGTTCAGAAACACTCAAATCTGGGGTTTAGACATTATAATTTTGAGATAAAAATGTTGTTTACCACATGATTAGCGGCTTGCATGACCCCCCACACACACTTGGCCATTCAGTGAAAGTGAAAGGTACAATACCGCAATTACACCACTGTCTAACGACACAGGAAATTCAGCCAGTATCTGAACTACGATGTGACGGCCATAATTTTGCACTGAACGCAATACTTTGTTTCCTTTCTACATTAAGGGCTCCACCCTTATGGTCTAGGAAATCATAAGGGGAAATACGGTAGACGGCTCGATATTGTTGACAGGGAGGAAAATATGCTTGTTAGCCTCATGACTCAATCTTAAAGTGAACGTGCCACGAAGCTCACATGCTTAAAAACCTAAACCTAATCAACGCCACACAGATGATGCCGAATTAAACCGAGCTCAGCACTGATCAGGTATCTGAAGTTTAGTCACCGTACAGTTACGCCACTTCTCAAAACCTTACTTTAAATGGAGAAAACTTTAACCGAGCCAACTTATTGTTATTGCTATTGGATTGCCACGATTGGAAATAGGTACCTCCTTACTTAACACGCATAAAAAGAGCGGCTATGCTTAATTACGCCTGTAACTGCAAATTCTTTGGTATCTGTATCTTGCACTGAAGCAGACGAGGTTTGTCTATACCAGCAAAACAACAATGAGACCCAGCAAGGCGGTATGAGCGGTTGTCACGGGTCTAACAGCACTTCCCCGTTTCGGCATGCAGGACCCTAAGCGCATGTAGTTAGCCTGACGGCGGGCTAATAAGTAGCGCCTACCTCTCGCTACGGTGCCGCGTCGCCCGCAGATCTTACGCGCCGCCGGTTCCCATGATACCTCGGACGGGCTTTCTGTCCGATCCCCCGAGCGCCGAGGCTGCAGCTCCTAGATGAAAGCGCCTTACTGGGTACTGTTCAAGTGCGGGACAGGCGTCCAGCCGCGTTTCGCTGCGAGGCTGCGGCGGTCGCTCTGTTGATAGGAGCCATGTTGTTACGTCGGGGATCTCACGTGACACACGAGAAGCGCCCCCCCGCAGCGCCAGCTTCTCCGCCTCATGTGACCCAGCCGTGGCATTCAGCTGCGGTCATCACAAATCAGGGGCGCATTTTGCCTACTGCTCGCTCCTGGTCACTTTATTAAAAGCTCCCCCCCCCCTTGCAACATTTCGAGGAGCTGAGCACCTTTCATCTGTGCCATGATGTGCTATTATGTGTCACATGTAAAACCTCCTTATGTCAAGCAAGTTATTCAAATGATTATTTAAATACTAAGAATAAACGAAACAAATTAACATATTTAAATAGACCAAATGTTTTAAGTGTTTGATCGCCATTACACTAGGGCTAAGATTCACCGCTGTCTAGAGTCAGGGGAATTCAAGTTTTTTTTATATATATATACTGGCATCTGGGGTTAAAATACTCGGGACTGTATCGGACCTAAGGATGCTCATGGTGCACCGTCAAAACAGTTAATGATGCGACTGCCCTGATTAAAAAAATTAGCACCGGATAAAACTCGTTATCCATCGTTTCTAACTTTGCATTAGTAAAATCCGATTTATTAATGTAGAATAGTGAGTCAAATCATTTTGCTTTATTAATTTCATATTATTTATTTAGCTCACGACTGGTGTTATTATAATGTTTTCAGGAGTCACCATGCTTCCAGACCACAGGAGGGTCTTTTACCGCGAACCTGCTTGTATTTGCAATCTGTTGCGTGTAAAACAAGCTCGATCTCTTATGTATCTGTTTGAGAAGCTTAAAATGGCTCTTCCGACTTTTGTGGGAGTAAAACTTAGTCGTCTGCATGTTTACATGTTGAAGCATGTTTGGTAATGATCCGGAAGAAGTTTATTTGGTTCATTTAAAAGATTTTGATAAAAAATATAGTATATGTTCATCGGTTTTCAAAACTATAGATACAAGTCGTGGTGCTCGATATGGTAAAGTTAACGAACAGCCAGTTATTTTGGGGCAGCAATTTAAACGCTCGTGGAAAAGTGCTGGGCATGGTAAGTTTTTAATCCGGGATTCGAACCAGTAACCTTTAAATCACAAGGCTGTTTCCCCTAACCATTAGGCCGCTGGTAATGCAATAGTAGTCATTGGTTAAATATTACTTGCTATAATTTTGTTGAATTTGCCCATGTTTTATGGCGTCAACATTGAAAACTTTAATTTGTGACAGTGCGCAAAAGCAAGCTATCTTGTCTGTGAAAGGAGAATCGGCAACTCGTCCTTATGTTTACGGGAAAGGGAGGAAGAGTTTAATAAAGTCAAGAGTTTGTTTTTTTGCTTTGCTATTAATAATTTAAGTAAAAATGTGTTTTTTTAAGATTTCGGCCTACAAGTTAGTCTTTTGAATTATTTTACTGTTTAAGTCATATTCACCATCACCCACCTCTCCAATCATATTGCACTCCCCACCGGGTCAGAGCACTTGAAGTCAGACTGTCACCGCAGGTACTGCCGCTGTCCCGGGCCTGGCCTGCACCTCCCTCACCACGCCACATCACATCACCAACATATCAAAATTCAATGCAGACTGTCCCGACAGGAAGGTCTCGGGCCTGGCCTGCACCTCCCTCACCACGCCACATCACATCACCAACATACCAAAACACAACGCAGACTGTCCTGACAGGAGGGTCCGACCTGCAACTCCCTCACCATGCCACATCACATCACCAACATACCAAAACTCAATGCAGACTGTCCCAACAGGAGGGTCCCAGGCTTGGCCTACACCTCCCTCAACATGCCACATCATAACATCAACATACCATAACACAACGTAGACTGTCCCATCGGGAAGGTCCCAGCCCTGACCTGCAACTCCCTCACCATGCCACATCACATCACCAACATACCAAAACTCAATGCAGACTGTCCTAACAGGAGGGTCCCAAGCTTATCCTACACCTCCCTCAACATGCCACATCATAACATCAACATACCATAACACAACGTAGACTGTCCCATCGGGAAGGTCCCGGGCCTGGCCTGCCCTGTCCACTGGAGATATTGAGCAGGAAGCAGCGCACGGCCAGGGTTACATAAATATTTAATTATTACTCGAAGCCCTATGTCTTTATTATTCAGAAATGTGACCAATAATTTCTGACCAATAATTTTATATTTAGATTGATTCCCCTTATGTTTCTCAAGCGCACTCTCTCATCTCCAGTTCTCCACAGTCAAAATCCATTGGTATCTCATAAATTGTATCAACTTCTTCTATGGGACGTAATTAATGTTGATCTATAATGATATTTGGCATATTCCTAACTCCTTCTTGCATTTATGTGTGGAGGGGTTGTATTGTACAAACCGGTTTTAAGGAAGTTTGGGTCAGATACAATTGCTCAATTCATGGCAAATAAATTTCGGTTTCTTAATAGACTACTGTTGGATAGATCGTGTTTACTTCAAAGCGTAGAACATTAGCATCAGCCAATTCTTGCCATAATAGGCCTATAGGCTAATTTACTATTGTTATTTACAAACAAAATAGGCTATATGAAGTCGATTAAAAATAAATTGTGTATTGATTCTTTAAAGGTCATAAAATGTTCCCCAACAGGTGTAAGGTCGAACATGATTCAATGTTGTTTTAACATATTGACAAAAAGTGCCGTAGTTAGGCTTATACACTCACCTAAAGGATTATTAGGAACACCATACTAATACGGTGTTTGACCCCCTTTCGCCTTCAGAACTGCCTTAATTCTACGTGGCAT